CAGGAATACTGATGTGTTACAAGCTGTACTGAAATCTCAGTATTGACAGTGACAGCCTTGCTCCTGCCTGTTTAGCAGGGATCGTTGTCAGCCATGGTGTATTGGATCCCTTCCCTGGCAAGGCCAGGAGGGTGGCTCCCAAGTAGTCCTGGAAGGGCTCCCTTTCCTTTGGTCAGCTGGGGAGACAGAAATGGGATGCCTTCATTCTGCTTGGGTTCCTTTAGATATTATGGACTAAGCACCAGACTGACAAACAGCAGGTCCCTCTTGTCTGCCAGCACAAACTCAAGCCCCCCAAACCTCTGCAGGATCATGACAGCAGATTCTTCCCTCTCTCTGCAGTCAGATACTCTCTCCTGGCTGGTGGAGAGATTCAGTTGTCTGAGTAAGCTGTGTTTGGGGTATATGTGTGTATATTTTTGTGCCTGCAAGTTACTTTTCCAGTCTGTACTGCATCCCTGAATATTTCACCTGTGAGAACGTGACAGAGAAAAGGGCCAGCTAAAACACAAACAAGCAAACTCAAAGTGCCCAGCCTCACTCAGACTTTCAGATGGAGACTGCTTGGCTCTGTGTGATCCAGCTGGGAATGTGCTGGGGACTGCAGTGAAGTTCAGTGACACACTTTGCTGCAGGCTGTCCTGCCTCTGCAACCCAGACCTGGAGTCACAATGAGTTGTCACATTTACATCCAATTCATGTTTGGCTTCAGGGATAGACTTTTCCTGCAACTTCCTGGCCAAAGCACTGAGCAAATAGTGGCAAACAGGTGCCAACCAAGCTGAAGAGGAGCAGCTCACGGGACAGCAAAGTGCCTTTATGGTGGCATGCTTGAATTCTAGGCAGATATTTATTATTTTGACCACTGTGCCCATCCAGAGGTTGAGATTTGTGTCTGTTTTAACAAGGAAGCAAGTCTGCATTTTTCTTTAGAAAGGCATATAGCTATTAAAAATAGTTGTTGATTAAAAAATCAGTTTATTTTCAAACCTGATCTTTCTGTGAGTAGCAGTGTTATTTTTATAAACAGACTTTTTGCCCAAATGTTTCTAAGCCATTGACTTCCTACTGCATATTTGCAGCTGGCAAGAATGTCACCAGAGCCCCGTGGACATGGTTCTGTGTGCATTTGCCTATCAGTTTTGCAGTCATGAGACTGAGATACACAGAATGGCTGAGTTTGGGTTTTGAGCTCTTGTGGTGTTCGAGTTTTATTCATACAATCACTCTGTACATTTTGACCAAGGCAGCATAGCTTTAACTTCTCACAATGTCAACTTCACACCAGTATCACCACCCCATGGTTGTTGAGTGAAAACCTGATACACACTGCCATGCTTCAGATGACAATCACCTCATATGTTGCTGCCTTGGGGGTGGTTTGGCTCTGTGTGGGGCACAGCTCATCTCAAAAACTGGACTGTTGCAGTGTGTGGCACACACCCAGGTAAGCAAGGGGGATGAGGATGTGCAGGCTTCTGCTGGACTGGGCTCCTTAGATTAAAGCCTACCAATTGCATTTTTTGTGTGCGTGTTTTAACTGTCTTCTCCTCACTCTTTTTTTATCATGCTGGGTCATGTTTGTTGTCCACAAGATGATGTTCCTCTTTGCCTATGAATCATGCTACATTTGAATAAATAAGGGAGTCCTGTTGTGCATTTATCACAGCTGAGGGCCTTCAGCCCACTTTTGTATGTTGTTCTGTGCTTGCACAGGGAGAGGTAGGGTGCTACGGACTCCCATCCCAGGCAGCATCTATGTGTCTTTTCCTGTCTTTGGAACCTGCAGTAACTCATGCTCTCCTTTTCTTTTTCTGTAGCCATCCTTGGCATGCACACCTTGATGAGTAACCAGCAGTACTATGAGGCACTGGGGAGCAGCACCATCGTGAACAAAGAAGGGCTCAACAGTAAGTGATTTGGAGTGTTAGCAGGCTGCAGTATTTGGCTTTGAAGCTGCTAGCAGAGGCAAAGTGGGAATTATTTTTAGGCTGGAGGTTGGAGCTGTGATTGTCAGAGCAGCCAGTGATTGCTGGAGCCATCTCTGGTGTATCCTTGGCCTGTGTGAGTCAGCACAGACTCAGCCACTTCCCTGGTACTGTCCAGGAACTAGCACAGCCTAGGGACAGGCAGTGTGCCTCCTCTGTCAGACAGATTTGAACCTTGAAAGCACATGGCAGCAGGCACCAGCTGTCCTGTGCTGGTTGGTCACAGTGAAGGAGCCTCTTATCTTGTGTCTGTTTGTCAGGTCATGCTTCTGTCTCCCAACACTGCTTCTGGAAAAGAAGAAACACACCCAAAGAGATCATTCTGCTCGGGGCGGTGTCAGTTTCACATGTCTTGGTTTTCACTTGCAGGCGTGATTAAGCCCACACAGTACAAACCAGTTCCTGATGAGGAACCAAACTCAACAGATGTGGAGGAAACTCTGAAACTAATACAAAGCAATGATCCTGACCTTGAGGAAGTCAACCTTAACAATATTATGGTATTTTCTCCTTTCTACCCTCCTTTCCTAGTAACAGAACCAAATATCTGACACATAGAAGGCAGAGACGAAATCTATTTTGTTGCACAGAGCAGTACCATAACACTGAGCTTAGCTAGATAAGAAATACTAGTGCTTCCCATCTCCATTGTGAGCAACAGGGATTGTTACCTACTATGGGACAAAAGCATGGGGTTGGTAGCCACAGGACTCAGAGCTCGAAGTGCCTGGAAGAATGGAGCTGTGTTGAGGGTTGTTTGGGGAGATCCATCTTCAGACTATCTGGTTAAAGGCATTCTAGGTTGCTTTAATGATTAGTCAAGCATATTTGGTGGAGGGGCTGTTTATGTGTATTATACAATGGTGTGAGGAAAAGGCTTCATAATCCTGACACTTGCCATAAAAAGATGAAAAAGCCTCCCTTCTTGCAGGTGGCCCTGTCCACCTCCCACCCATCCTTTCTGTGGGGCTCTTTTACTTCTTGTAGAAAGCAAATCAGGACACAGCACCACTTCTTCTGCTGCTTCTTGGACACATGCATATACTAAAAAGTACAGCTTCCATTCCGTGTGGTCTGTTGAATGATGACATAGCCAAACAGCAAGAACACAGCTAACTGCACATGCATATTAAAGATATTTTTGCCACACTACCTGCATCTTTCTATAACAAAAATATTTTTACTTTCACTTATTTGATTCTGGCTAGTGACCCTGTCCTGTGGGGACACAAGACCCAAGGTCTGACAGGCAGGCACTCCGTGTGTGTGTTGAGCTCATGACTTTGGAACACGGTTTGGAGAACTGGAGAGTGACGCTGGGGATTTTAAGCTGCTGGGCACTGTGTTATGGCTCTGCAGATAACTTTGAATGTAGATGATTCCACATGGTGGGATCCAGATGATGTGGCTAGAAGTCCAAGATGAGGATACCACTTAAAATTTTAGGTGAAAATTTGTGCATCTGAGAAGGTATCTAAAATGCTTGATAAATGAAAAACACTCATTTTGAAGGAACACAAAATAAGCAACATGGATTTTTTTTCTGGGCTGAGGCCTAGTTAGCCTAAAATGTTGTATAAAGCAGTCAAAGTTGTCTGTGGTTCATGTTACAAGGAGATCATTTAAGGCCTTTCTGCATCAGGCCCTGTAAGCAGAAATTTTCTGAACATGACATGAATGTTACTCAGTGCTTTGTAGGCTCGTGGGTCCTGGTTACATACATCCCTGCAATGCCCATGTTCCCAGGTAGCTGAGTTTCTGCCAATTAAGTTAAACAGCCGAGACATAGCTTCAAATCAAGGCAGTAAGCTTACAGCAGAGTAGGAAATAGGACAGAGACATTACCATGTTCCTTAGACCATGCTAATTATTGCATGAGAACTTGTTAAAACATTTATTGACCCCTTCCTGAATTCAGATGCATGTGGTGATTTGACTTTGATGAGAAATTTAAAGTATCTTTTAAATGTATTGCATATTCCTTCATACAGATGATGGCCTAGCACAGGCTTTCTGCATTTGTCTTCACAGAATATTCCCATACCAACTTTAAAAGCTTTTGCGGAAGCACTGAAGGACAACACGTACGTGAAGAAGTTCAGTATAGTTGGGACACGGAGCAACGATCCTGTTGCTTTTGTAAGTACTGTGGGCTTGTCATCATAACGTTGTGGCAGGAACTGTTCTCAGGCAAGGTATTTTCAGCATTGCTGACTGATTGCTTCTGCACCTTATGTTGTGTTTGGCATGTTCTGCACCTCTAGCGTTTGGTGCAGGTGCTTCAGTTTCAGGAGCACTAGTAAAGCCAGGAACAGACAGGTTTTGGTTCCTTCACTTCATTTTTCAGCTGCAGAGATTTTGGGATGCAATCCTTTAATCCCAATTCGGTCTCAGGTTCGTCCTCATGGATCTTCCAGAAAAAGAGTGTGAGACAAGAACTGACTTTCTACTGGCATTTTCCAGAAGCAGTTTCTCTCTCTTTCTCTCTGGAGATTTGTTTCTGTTGGTACAAAGGTGTGCACTGCTGTGTGCACACCTGTTCCTCCCCTCGCACACATCTGCTCTGGTTCTCTTTCATATATTCTTTTGAGCAGATGTGTGCAGAAGCAAGACTGTGCAGCTCCTATGTGTGGCCTCTGTAGGTGGTAACAGGTCTTGCTGGCTGCTGTGGGTGATCTTAAATATCAGTGGGGATGCAGAGGTGCCGAGCATTCTGCCTGAGCCTTGTGCTACCTTCCAGGCTGCATCTTTCCACATTCCTCCAGCACCATTGCAGTCAATATTTGCTCTTACTGACTCAGGTCACCCCAGCCTACCTCCACACATACACACATACACACACACACGCACACACACACATCAGTATCCTGTTGGAAAAAACCAAACCTTTTGGAGCACAAGTACTGCCCTCACATTATTTCAGACACTCTGGACTGGGGAGGAAGCCTGTGCAGGCAGCACTGGCTCTGTCTGAGGGCTGAAGGGGCACTGTACCGGGCTAGGGGAGCTGTGGGGCCAAGTGCTGTGAGTGCAGGTCAGCCCTGCCACTTGGGCATCACCTTCTGGTCCTTCTGTTTCATGACATAGAACTCTCAGGCAGTTTATATGAAATGTGATCATCCAATCAGATATGGGCAACTGGGAGTGTTCCAGTGCACTTCTGGTCTTACCTGCTGAGGGAAGCAAAATTGGTTGTGATGCCACTTGGGGAGACACCTTAGGTGTGGAGAATCTCTTGATGTTCCCGTCTCTGCCTGCTGTAATGGGGAGCATCTCGGCCCTGTGCAGTGCAGGAGGGACCCAATCAGAAGGGAGGCAGGGCCAGTGCTGGCCAGCATCCTTGTCATCACCATGCTGGCTTTAGAAGAGGGACAGATGAAGCTGTCCACAGGGCAATTGCAGGTGTGGACTGGCACCTTTTGGGGTAGCCCTAAAGGTTTGTCTATACAAGGTTTTGCTGCAGCCTCCAACATGCTCATGTTCAAGAATCCCCATGAAATGCTGGGGAACCCTCTTCAATCCTATCTGGTGGCAGTGAAACTGCTAAGCATGTGGACCCTCCTGGAGCCCTCTGGAGATAAGGGGAGCTGAATCCCTACTGCCCTGGGGTGCTCTGCCCTCGCCTGTCTGACTGCCAGCTCTTTCTGCCCACCTCTGTCCACAGGCACTGGCAGAAATGTTGAAGGTCAATAACACACTGAAGAGTCTGAATGTGGAATCAAACTTCATTTCTGGGTCAGGGATCCTGGCTATTGTCGAAGCGTTCCAGAGCAACACGTCGCTTGTTGAGCTGCGCATTGACAACCAGGTAAAGCACATGCAAGTGAGAGCTCTTGACCACTTGACCACTTGACCAGAGGGTCAAGTGAACATGTCCTGGCTGTGGGAAATTGAGTGTCTGGTCAGGGTGGAGGCTGGCTGCCCACCACCACTGCCATATTGCTCTGAAGAGCTTTCTACCCCTTGTTTCTGCTGCAGTTCCTGGGCAGTATCTGCCAGTACCTACAGTAATGTACAAAAGCTGGAACAGTGCAAGCAGCTTTCAGTGTCCCTGGTGCTGCTGTGGAGAGTAGTGGTTGGGCCTATCCAATACCACACCTTGCTCTGAGCTCTTGCAGGGGCTAAAATAATAATGAGTATTTAGTAAAAT